CTGCAGTGTGCCTGCAGTGTGCACGTCCGTGAACGTGTCGCCAAGTTTGTGTCTGTGAAAGAGCCGAGTTGCAGCAACAGCAGCAGCAGCAGCAGCCGAGCATTGTTGAAGTATAGAGTGTGCAAGCGCGCAAAAAGAAAAAGGAAAACGCAGCTCTGCTGCGCTGTGAGTGAGTGAGTCTATGTGTGCGTGTGTGTGTATACCGTGCCAGGCATAAAAAGTACGTGCATCGCATCGTGCTCTCTACTGCAGTGTACTTGTGTATCGCGCTGCGGTTCTGCGTGTGTGTGTGTGCGCCAGTGCGTTTTATTGTATACACGATACACACTGCTATTCTGCACTGCGCTCGTCGTCGTCGTCGTCGTCGTCGTCGTCGTCGCACATCGTTGCTGCACACTATATATAAAAACCGGCACATCGCGGGAAATGCGAGTGCAACGAAGCCCCTGCTACAAATTACAACCATCGCTTCAACTCGTCCCATGAATTTTCGGTGAGTCTGGCCTGCACCATCTGTCTCTTCGTGACCTAGTGTGCTGTCGTTTTATTTATTTATTTTATTTCCCTCTCGGGCCTTTTTATATTTCTCCAAAAACTTGCCGAGCTTGGAAAACTTTTTTTGGGCATTAAAAGCGCCAACGACCGTTGCGCAGAAACACTTTCACGATTCATACGGCGTTATCGCTCGCATGAATTTCGCTACGAGTGTGCGAATGTACGACCGGCAGTATAAATACGCCGACGACTGGGGAGAGCCGAATGCACGCGAGTGACTGAAAGCTTTGACCTGTGGCAATCGGCCGCTGCTGCCGCCGCTGATAGGCGCGCATTCCTTCGCACAACGCAGCCTACATGGCTATATACAACGTAAAACGCGCTCGGCGAAGCAGCTCTTCTCTCGCATGTATGTTTCAATGATCCGCTTGTTTCGCGTGCGATTCTCGCAACTCGCTCCGCTTTCCAAGGGAGTAGCCAACGACCAGAGAAATCTCGACTGCAGTGAATTCTCCTTCTCTTCCTTCTTCTCCTCCTCGTCCTCCTACTCCTCTTCCTCCTTCTTGTGACGTTCGATGCTCGAGCGCAGCTACTCGATAAATGGCCTCGTCGTCTCGCTTCCGGTCTAGCTTTATAACGACAAAATCAACGACAACCATTTAAAAATCAACCGAATCGCCAGATTTTTAACAGCACCGACTTGCAACTATTTTTATCAATGACTGCGTAACGAGTCTCCAAGAGATGCCAAACTTAGCCTCGGTCAATGGACATTTTCAGACACCTTTTTGCAGATTGGTAGTGATTTTTTTTCTGAAAAGTTACATCTATGTCTGTAGAAAACAAAAGCCTTTACGAATATATTTTTTCAATTATTCAATACAAATATACAGAAACATATTTCATATAATTCATATACTCTGCTTATGGTGTACTTTTAACATTTACGCGTAATGTCGGAAAACATTCAGAACAATAGTGTGGAAAATAGCAGAGCTGCAACAACAGTTGCTCATTAATTGTAATTCAACGTATCTGCCTCTCTTTTTTTCTAGAGCCTAAAATTGTAATCGTCGCGTTCAAGGAAAAAAAGAAAATATTTTTTTCTTGAATTCGAAGAGATAAATTATTTCACCTTGTGACATCGGACCGTTGGTTTCTTTTCTCTCTCTCTCTCTCTCGCTCTCTCTGTCTTTCTCCATCCTCTTGTGCGAAAAAGTTCCGGTCTAAATATATTTATGTACATATAAAACGATTCTTCCGGCCTAGTTCGCGGAAGTAATAGGCCGCTAGCACGCACGAGTCTCGCTAAAAAAGTTGAACAATGAAGTTACAATAGAAATGATTTGACGTATTTAAACGCAAAGAGCATGTGTGTGTGTGTGTATATGTGCAAATATATAATATATCTGTCGTCGCGCATATGTGTATGCGTATGATTGTATATGTATCTTTTATATGTGTGTGTACATGAAGAGGAAAAGAGAGAGAAACAGGAAATTAAATGCGCACGCGTTAGCTTATTCATAGTTATACACTCCAGACGCGTTTATGTATTCTTGTTTTGGATAAACTCAAAAATAACCATGGACCGCCGTACGGAGACGCATGTGTGTACGCGTGTGTATTCGAGTGCGCGACTGCTATACTACGACTGGCGTACACTTTTGCTCTATAATTACGGATCTGAAAATTTCTCTTCTCGCCGTGAGCGTGAGATGACTTAGTTCGTTCACCGCTAGCATTGCTGGTCGGACAAAAAGCGCGACCGTGCGCAGACATACCGAGTGACACATCTTCTATTTACCGAGCCCACCAACTTTCTGTAAATATTTCTCCCTCTTTATCTAATAAGCTTATTTTTTGAGAGGCCCTATCGTTCTATGTTAGCGATATTTTGGCTGAGAAATCAAAGACGCGCTAGCGTACTATGTCGTATAAAGAATTTTCTACATTATCTTGCAAACATGCATGGCAAAACTACGAAAAAGATCCCGAGGATCAATTGCGCACGTGAACGACACCGTGCACTCTTTAATTTTCCATGTATTGATTGATGAATCTGCTATTGGTGAATAAATATTTTTAGAATGAGTTTTACACGGCCGTTTGCTAAGCTGGTTAGAATCAAAGTTTGCTCACTTGCTTGCCTACCTAATTTTTTAATACAAAATTTCGGCTTTCAAATTTGTTGTTTTTAAAATTTCATCCTTGCTTTGTAAAATTGAGGTATTGGCTGTAATAAATCAACCCGGTGGTAAGAAATTAATCTTGTTTAGACGATCGGGTGACCTTTCAATGAAATGTATTCGAGATTAACTTAACGAATAAAAATATCTGCGGTAGGTTTGCGCGTTACACGAGTGAAATAAAGTTTAAGAACAAAGCTGAAAATCCATTCAGTTTTTTTTCATGGATGGATTGCAAATCCTTTAATGAAAGAAAATATAAAAATTAATGAAAATTAGCCACGTTACATCAATGAATATAATATAACATATTCGCATAGATCGATGGTCAATCGATGTTGTAAAAGGAGAAATTTTATTTCCGACCCATAGGCATCAAATAAATGTCCATAGTTGATAAAATGCGTTTGTGCAGATTATCTAGACGTTCGGGCCGCCTGGGTAGAGGTATATAAATATGTATTGTAGCATACGACGATGTAGGTATAAAAAAGCTGCATAGAATGCAGACAGGAACATCGGGTCACAAGATTGAAATTCCAGCGTCATAAGTTTCGAGCGACGAGAATATAATGCATGTGTGTGCATTGGTATTAAAAAGCTATACGGCGCGCCTCTTCTCGTCGTCGTCTCGTTTCATGTCCCACGGCCGATTCACCCTCTTTCTCTGTCGATACTTGGCGTGCACAGGCACGGCGACGCAGGTTATGCACAACTTATAAGTGCAGACACTAGAATGAAAACGGGATCAGCGCAAACCATCTGTCCGCGTACGATGCTATCTCGAATATATAAAGAACTCGCGCGTAGTAGCGAGTGAAAGAGAGAAGCCGTAAATGGCCAAAGGACGTCGACGTACGGCGTGGCACATTCGGAGAGACGCGTGCAAAGTGCCCGAGCAAAGTTTTACTGAATCGAGAAAAGAATGGGTGCGAGAGCGAAAGAGATGGACGAATCGTGAATGATGTTTGAGCGAACCTGCTATATGTATGCGTGAGTGCGTGCGTGCCCATCGACGTGCGGGGCGAAATACGAGCGCGCACACACACACACACACACACACATACACCTCGCGAAGAATGGAGAATCTTGCATGTACAGGAAAGAAAAAGACGGAGAGAGAAAGGAGGAACTCTGCACATCTGCCAGGATTCCCGAGAAGTCTCTCTCTTTCTCTCTCTTTCTCTGCGACGAAGGCTCGCAGGAAAGCAGCGCAGCTCATTCAAGCGACTGCTACGAAGCCTTCGTCTTCTCGTGCCTTCGTGCTCATCCACCGCAGTCTTCTCTCCATCTTATAGCAATACTGACTTGGCCTCAACCATATACCTATAGCGGCTCTCCAAGCTCTTTCTCTTTCCACCCGACATTCCTTTGTCGAATATCATCCTCGATACTTCTCTCTCTCTCTCTCTCTTCGATGTTTATATATGAGTAGTTCTTTTATACTTTTAAAGTAAAAGTTCTAAACAAATTAACGCAAAAATTTGGGCTTACCCTATTATAAATGAATTTTTCTTATTATTTACGAAAAACTGAAAAAAGGCCCGTTACTCCTTTCCTGCGTAGTTTTTTTACAATATCAATTTTTTAATTTTTAACGTGCACCACTTACAAATATTTAAAATATTTAAAAAATCAACTGTTTTTTATCAAGATGTGCGGTAGCGCCTAGCCGGAAAAATATACAAAATTACTCGTGTACAAGCGCTCGATCCAGTCGCTTGATGCTCCATTGCATATATTTTTAATCCACAACCACCGTATGAAACCACCTGCGATATATATTTAAATTACATATTGTATAATCAATATAATAATTCAAGTAGCTCATTGATCTTTTATTTTTTTCATTAAACGTTATCGTACTGTACAAGTCGTGTCTGCGACTATTTCATCGATCTGTCCAAGTCTTTACTTTTCTACGTGAAATTCGTGAATAAAAATATATTCTTTACTTTTACAATTCAAGCTTCTCATACATGTCTCGTCAATCGAAATGTATGTTTTAATTCCAAGTAGCAAATAAAAACGAGTTCGATGTAGCACAAAATAGCGAGGGTAAACCCTATACGTATTACATGCGCTATATAATGTGCTTCTTGAAGTCAGATTAATCAAATTTTGGATGCCCTCGCATATTAAATCATATTAGCCGTATGATGAACTATTTAAAACTTTTAGACAGCAAAAGGATAATTTATTTCTATGTAATCATATGTATTTTTCGTAGCTTATCGAGATTTAATTTTAAAACAAAATAAGTTGAATGTAAACAATGCAAAGTAATAAAATGTTTGGTTTGGTTATCGGTTGCAGGTGGGGATGAAGCTCGCTGTGCGAGGGTGGGAGGAAGCGGTTGCGGAGAACCTAGTGGCACCCTTGCTCATGGAAGCCCTTTGCCGCGAGCGCTACCACCTCGCGCCGGCGCAGTATCAGCAGCAGCAACAGGCTGGCCCTTGCAGCCATCCCTGTTCGACACAGCAGCCAGTACGACGAATCCACAGAAGAATCAGCAAGAGCAGCAGCAACAGCAGCAACAGGCATCACCGGGTCGCCCGGTTGCACAACAATGGGCTAGCCAGCATCAGCAGAGTCATCGATTTAGAAATAGCAACGTCCTGCAGAAGAGTTCACAAGAGCAAAGGAGATTCGCGACCACGACCGCCAAGAACGCGCCCCGGCCCCCAGCCGTCCCACAGCGCAACAGCGAGTGGCACTGGCTCGTGGCCCCGACGACACTAGCACCCCCCGTGCCCATCGTAGTCAGCCCCAGCAGCAGCCATCTCATGTCGCAGAATGAGCCGGCCGCGCGGCCGCCCTCCACGACCCCCGCCAGCTCTGGAGTGGCCGCCGCCGCCGCCACCACCACCAACAGTACGCAACAGTCTCCGGTTCTTCGGCATACGAGGCCGTTGCCGCCACCCCGGCCGGAGGGCCCGATCGCCCCCGCCGTGGCGCTTTCCACGCCATCGACACCGTCGCCGACACCCCTACGACCGGCCAGCTCGTTTCGCATGGCTGGTCGCGCTGTCCCGGTGAGACTGGAGAGTAGTAGCACGCCCCCACCGAGTCGAAGCAGCAACCCCGAGCAGCAGCAGCAGCAGCAGGTGACGGTGAGCCTGCAAGCACCGAGACCCGATGGAGAGCGAGTGACCAACGAGTACGTCGAGACGCCGTTCCGAGCCGGCCAACAGCAACAGAGCCGCAGCGACGAGCTGCTCGACGGAACGTCGCTGAAGAAAGAGGGCTCGGGCCCCGTGGCCACGCACAAGGCCCTACGGGGCTGCCTGTCGAAGGGCAGCAGCCAGCACGAGAGGCGAGGCCAGGCCCCGAGAGACGCCAAGAGCGGCAACGGCCTGCTACTGTTGACGCGCAATCAGCGAGGAGGAGGAGGAGGAGGAGGAGGACGAGCGACCGCCAGCAGAGACATAGAGCAGCTGGAGCAGTCGAGCCTACGGGCCAGCCAGCGGCTACAGGCTTCGAGCGCCATCACGAAGCAGCCGGTCTCGTTCACGAAGGAGCCGCTCGGCGGCTCGAGGCAGGACGCCAACAGCGCCAGCCTGTCGATCATGTGCGAGCGATGCGGCAAGTGCCGCTGCGAGTCGTGCAGGGAGCCGCCGCCGCTGCCCTCGCGCTGGCTCTGCGACAACGCCTGCCTCTGCTCGGCCGAGACGGTCCTCGACTACGCCAGCTGCCTGTGCTGCGTCAAGGGCCTGTTCTATCACTGCGCCGACGGCGGCCTCGGGCCCGGGCCCGGCTCCGACAGCCTCGACGAGTCGAGCGAGCTCGCCGGCAACTGCGCCGACGAGCCGTGCTCCTGCGCCGGCCCCAGGTCCGCCGCCAGGTGGAGCTGCCTCGGCGCCCTGGCCCTCTTTCTGCCCTGCCTCCTGTGCTACTGGCCGCTGCGCGGCTGCGTCGCCCTCTGCGAGGCCTGCTACGCCAAGCACGCGACCCAGGGCTGCCGCTGCGATCCCCGCAGTCTCAGGCCGCTGCAGACCAACGCTCGGCACCTGAGCTCGTCCTTGGCCGCGGCTCCCATCAGCACGGTCATGTCGGCCGCCGACACGGCCCGCGACCCCGAGAAGAGGCTGCTCGAGCCAAGCTTGCCCGACCTCTAACCGTCGTCCTTACCCTCCGACGGCTTGCCAATGAGACTGATTCGCATACTAGTGTCGCTGTTGCCTTCGAATTTGCCAAAGGAAGCTCGTCCAACGCGCTAACGCGACATACGTACTTTGCTCGCACGCACGCACGCACGCACACAGACAGGGCGTACGCGCACCCACAGAGAAAGAGAGAAGAAATAGCATGTTTGTGCATCGCCGTAGCCAGCACTACACCACTACATGGCCGCGAGTGCGATGAACTCGCTCACGCTCAGTGACGAGGACGAAGCGAGGCCGTCCAAGGCAACAAGAAGAACAAGCAGAAGAAGAAGAAGAAGAAGAAGAACGCGCCAACGCAAGGGAGGCTCGTTGGGCTCGCTCGCGCTCGCAGTCGCTATCGCAAGCAAACTCTGCTGTTGAGCCTAGCACTGTAGAGCCTCTCGCTCACAGACAGACGCAACTCTGCACTCCAACTTCTGCTTCTACTACGAGTATAAGCAAGCCAGCAAGAGTAAGAGACTGAGAGAGCAAGTGTAAGAGAGAAAGAAGCAAAGAGACTAAGACTGAGGCGACCAAGACCTCTCTCCGCATTGCGCGTTTGCGCTTATAAGAGTTGTATGTGCATAAATTCGCAAACGTGTGTGTGCTTCGTGTCGCACTGTATGCACGCTTATGCATATGTGTACACTACTCTCTTTATCGTCGTCGTCTACTCTTCCAGCAGTATGCTGATTCCCTCTTTGGATTTTTCTCTCTCTCTCTCCCCTCTCTGTTTTAGCCTTTAGAGTGTAGAAAAAGAAAGAAAGAATTTGGCAGGGCTGCGCGACCAAGACCAAGGGCCGCCGAAAGGAGAAAAAGAAAAAAAAGAAAAACACGTATGCATTGCATTAGTACAAGAGTTGCATTTAACGTGTTTGCTGTGTGAGTGTAAGTAAGTGTGAACTCGAGCGTTTGTGTGACGAACTGCATACATGCAGCAAAACAGAACCCAGATGTAGTCAGATGTACACGCATAAACACAGGATACGGAACATTAAGTATGTTTTATTCGTCGATATTTTTGTTACGATTGTTTTATATACGCATCGTCCGAGTAGAATACTCCAAATTAATGAAATTAAAATCAATGTGAAATGAGGCAAAAATGTATCGAGTGCTATAATGCTCGGCTTTTCTTTGAGAACAAGCCTCAATTGCCAAACGAGAGAATGCTGTGTAACTTACGTATCAACGAAACAGTGATGAACACAATCGTGTGATCCGATCGATTCTTAATCGTTCTTTGCGTTCTCTACTATGTGCAAATATCGACTGAATGTGAGAATGAGCAAATGGGAGAAAAATGGAAAACAGCAAAATTATTACGTATATAATTTTAACAATACTCCAACAAATCCATCTTAGTAGCACGATCACGACAAATAATGCGCGAGACGTCTAAGCTTTGGCACAGTATAGATAGCTCTATATACATTATAAATATAAAAATAATTTTTATTACATTGACAATAAATGATGAAACTAAAATATTTATTGTATAATACGTTTGTATAAAGCAGAATTTTTTACGATTAATTTATTCGTGGGCGTATCGCGGGTATATAATTAATATATTTACACAACAAAACGCAACGAAAAAAATAACAAAATATTTCCAATAATACATACACGTATATATTGTACATTCATACGTGTCTGTGTGTATATACGCATATATAATAATGTAGAAATGCGAGCAAAGAAAGTGAGAACGCCTTTTTGAACAATTTTTTAAACTATCGTTTTGGTATACAATTATATAAGTATATGTAAAAAAACGAGCCGAGAACCGAATCCGAAGTTTTCCTCGAGGGAGTATAATACTTTATTACTACTATAAACCGCTGAAACAACTATTATTATAACTATTATTACTATTATTATTATCATTATTATTATGATTATTTTCATTATTATTATTAATATTATTATTATTATCATCATTATTATCATTAATATTAATATTATTATTATTATCATCATTATTATTATTGTTATGATTATTATTATTTATTATTATTAATGTATCATTACTATAATATGCGTCATAGCGACTATCATTTCGTTTTCACTTTACGATCAAAGACATCCATTGAATAAAAAACTCTACTCGGTTCTCGGTCAGAAGCTATAATATTTGCTACGCAAAGATACAGAAAAAAATTAAAACATAAAAATTCAAAGAAGGATTGATAAAAGCATACTATCCCTCGTGGAATTTGGCGGAAGTATTTCGATCGTTGTAGAATGCAGATTTCCGCTGGACACGGCAATGATGTTAAATCATGATTACGGATTGAAAAAACAATTTATTATTTTTTTTATTAAAAAATTTTAAAATATTCATAAAAAAATATAAAAAATCCAAACAGACAAGTTATGTTGTTAGCTAAAAAATAAATCATATAATAAAGAACGCAATCAGTGGATTAAATAATAGTAATCGAGATAAGCTAGGAGAGAGGGAGAATCTTTGCATGAAAAGCTTCTGATTTAAGGGATGTTGATTATTGTGTCGGGTGTTTTGACTTTATTAATTTTTCCAGTATTATCTAGTCTTGCGAAAGTTTTGTCAGCGCGGAAAACCACGGTATAGGCTTTCTTTTTTTTCGATCAAAACAGATTAAAAAACTTTAGTTATATACGTGTGTGGGCGATGTAAAAGTTATACATACATATATAAATGAATATATAGTAAAAATGCGTATACATATTTATAGCGAATGTTAAGAATGTTTCTGAAATATCGATGATTTATAATACTTTTTATGATGACGATTATGCGAATGTGAGCAAGTTGATTATATGCCAGTGTCTTTGTACATCAGTGTATTTGTATGTTTCCGTAAATACCAAAAGAAAAGTGTACATTCTACATTTACATACAAACACAAATTTAGGAAGCTTCATAAGAAAAAACTGGAACTTTGTTACTGCGTTTACACCAAATTATTAAGCCTATATATATTTAATATAATGGTACACATTCATATCAGTAAACGCAGTAACAAAATTCTAACGCACGAGCATTTTATACGCATCGGTGTACGATGTAATTTTGCTAATAATTGAAAAAGCAGAAATAAAGAGGGCACACGCGTTCGTACCTATGTAGACGTGTTGACTGATAAATGTTGATCCAGGCGATATTGGCCAAGTGGGAAGCAGCCGTACATCGGCGATTTTTGTCCGAATAAAAAACGATTCGATTGTTGAGCAGCGAAGAGAGCGTAATGCAAAATGATTATTTTTGACTTGAAAATCAAAGTTGTAATGTTGAAATTGGCTAGACGAGCTTTGGCGACTCATCTGTAATTTTTACACATAATTTAGAAAATCTTTGTTTGACACATGGTCGTTGAAGAAGAGCCTTTTGCTCTTGGCCACAAGGCCAAATATCGTCAGTAAGTATGGGTATAAAAGATCTATTTTACCTTATTTTATATTTTAAAAAATCTTGCTCTCTAGAACATTGTAAAATTTGCCCGATTAATTATAATGTAAACAGTGGCATTATTGCTACTTGCGCGTGTGCGTCTCTGTGTGTACTGTTTGTAAGTGAATAATTTACACTTTTGTACATAAATACATACGAGTAGGCAAAAACATATTGAATGAGGAAAGGTGCAGAGAGACTGACAGACTTTAGTAACCTGCAAATTATTTGGGTCTTGTGTATTATTATTATTACAACTCGTATGGGAGCTTATGGTACATATTGGTAAGAGTAGTACACTTTTTAATGCCAACGAAAAAATACTTGTAATTCATGTTATCTACATATATAATGAACACGCGCATGTGCAGACAGTATACTCATGAACTCGTTGCTCTACGTACGAATGAAGCGAATCAATGGGAATCATCTATTATATCGTTCGGTGCGTGAGTGTGTGTGTGTGTGTGTGTGTGTATGAGTGTGATAGCGTGAATGTGAAAATTCGCAAATGTGTGTACTTGCGATCAGTACCTTTAAATATGTATGCGCATAAGTCTATGTTAATAAATACCGATGTATAAATATCGCGAGTAATAATAAAATTTGAATATATTATATGTTAAAATTATGCGCCGAATAATTATAATTATAAATATATATATATTGCGAATGAACGTTTTTTTTTTGAAATTAAAGATTGATGAGCGCCAAGCGTTTGATTCTTTCTTTTTATATAGGTATACATGGAAGCCCACATACTTGTATATTGTCTTGTAAATATATAATATATATATATATTTGAAAAAAAAATTAATCGATCGTTGTTTTTTGTTATTTTTTCTGCACTTTCCCCTTCCTCAAATTTCAACACACAATAAGTATCCACTACATTTTGAGTAAATAATTTTTTTTGATTCCTTGGCTAGTTTATATGGAAGCAGTCAAACTTGAAAAATTCTTTGAAATCTGCAATGATCGACGAAATGTTAAATGAAAATTACTATACTTTGTGTTACAGGGCGATATTCTTGAGGTTTGGAGAAAATTTAATTTTTTATTTATTATATTAAAAGTTTTTAGAAACATAACAAAAATGAACAGAGTAAAAAGTAAATTTCCCCCAAATTTTGAGTATATCTCTCGGTCAGCAGAAAGTATAGTGATTTTTACTCTAGATTTCACTCAGGATGGGAATGTTGAAATATTTGATTAATTCAAATACTTGGCCGCGCGCATTGACTGAAGAGATTTTTACTGAAAAGGATTCTTCGATGATGTGGCACAAATTTATTAGTAAATAACACGCCAAGATAACAAGGACTTTAAGCATGTATGAGGATGAAATTTTGATCAGTGAAAAACTGGTTGGAATTGCTGGTAAAGGATCCAGAATTCGATTATAAGGCTGCATAAAGCAGCTCTTCCTCGTTGCTGCGTACTTATGATGCAAACGTTGACGAGGAAACTTTCCAATAGCGAGCCTTTTTCCATCTTTTTATGACATCGCTACTCGGAAAACAATTTCGCGACCTCACGTTCGAATGCTTGCCTGCGTACGGGAAATATATGGGCGCGATTTCAAATTTTGACTCACTGCATCATTTTTCTTTTCGACGAAAATATTCACTACAGGTCATCGATGCAGAATGATTTATGCCACGATGTTTTTTAAGTTAAATTCATGACGCTATAGGCCCCTAAATCATAAGATATCACGAGGTTCTTTTTTTTAATAGCAATTTGTTGCTACTACAGCTATATTTATTAGCAAAGTCAACTTTGAATCATAGCAGATTTGAGTGTTTTTTTAAAGTTATCGGTGGAAGCAGCGGTAAATTTTTGTCTTCTCTAGGTTCAACGAAATTCACGACTCATATAATAACTTACACTTCTCATTGTTTTATTTTGTATTTAATGATCGATGTGCACTATATTTTCTGTATGATAAATTCGTACTGCTGGCTCGTTTAAAAAATGTATCGGTCAAAAGTATACGTGGACGTAGAAAAAAACAGAAGCTTATTGACGCCGAAGGTACATATCGATGAAAAAATGAATCGGTATAGAGTCGCGTTGAATCAAGAGACGCAGGAATAGTAAGGCAGTTGGGTTGGATGTGCGTTGGCGGAGTTGAATAGCGTACGGATAGTTGGTGTTAGAAAACGAGCAGCAGCTCGGCACGTTGGCGCGCAGGAAGAAACAAACTGGCTGCAGCAGTCGAGCAAAAAGAGAAAAAACGAGAGTCGTGGCGGTCGCAGAGACCATGAAGCTGATCTAAAAACATGCAATGGACGCGAAGCAAGTGTGCATAACCTCGGGCGGAAGTTTATTAGACTGTATGTGTGTATGCTTGTGCGTGGATAAAATGTACAAGTCAGGCAGAAAAGAGAGAAAAAAGACGAGTCAACGACGAAGCAAAAAAACAAGCAGAAGAAGACGAAGAAGCAGAAGAAGAAGAGGATGTATATGATATAGCGAATACTAGCTGGAAGAGCAAAAAGAGATGAAAATAAAAAAATTCTTGTATTTTTCACTCACGAGTCACAGGAAGGAGAGAAAGAGAAAGAGAGAGAGAGAGAGCAAAATGTGTGTTCGAAGAGCTCATGAGAGCAGTTATGCTGGAACTTGGGGCGATCTTCATGGAGTGTCTATATGGGTATACTCGATATGCTCAAGTTCGGATACTGCAAGGCTTGACTGTGGCTGTAATTTGGCTATATAGTTATCATAACGCCAGTATTTTTTATCGTTTCTTGGCTTTGCTAGCTAAAGTTGTTAATTTTGCCGAATTTAATTTTGTCGTTGTGCGCTCGTTTGCAGATAAAAAAGCACACAGGACGTTGACGTTGCGAACTCATACTCTAGCCGATCGTACGATTATTACTGGTCATCCGGCTGAGATTCGGCTAGCTTTAATGTCGTGAAATATAAGTCTACCGTTGGATCAGAAATAAATCACGAGTCGCATCCGTAGAGGCTCGGTCGAAATTAATTTCAACGAAATCGATTCAACAAGTACGATGTTGTCGCACTAGGTCGAAATCGCGCGCCGTCGACCAGAAGACATGGACAATGTGCTCCGGATAGTTGTTGGCTGAAAACGAGCTATCGGAAAGACCAGTTAGTCGAGCGGACTGCGCATCCGCTGGGTCTACGTAGTAGTAGAGCGAGAGTACCCTCGTCAGCCGCAGCTGCGATAGGGCGACTTTTTATAGACGACGACTCGGACACTTTTTCGTTTTCCTAATTCATTTTCCCTCTAGATTATGGCCGCCAACGTCCGAAAAAACTCGATTAAAGCAGCTCTCAACGTTGCTGCGCTAATTGCAAATCGGATTTTTTCAGATTGGATGCGGGACAAGTATAGGCCCGAGCGAGCTCTCGCACAGGGGACAATTCGATCCCTTGTCGCAGCCGCAGAAATGCCTGAAAAATCATTTTTGCTCGTGGCCCGAAGGCGACATTTCCA